AAACGCCAAACTTAGTCTTCTGATTTCTCCTTTTGTGTACTGACCCGGACCCGTGAAAACGATTTCGCTGCCTTCTCCTCTCCTTGAATACCTGCTCGGATTTATACCTCGCTGCCATCTCATTCTAAGGACTCGGACTGTCAAACGGATTACCGCAATCACTGTCACTTCATTCCTACTACAGAATGCATCTCCTATTAATCTGAGCCCTCCAAGGACCTCTCCAAACAGAGACTGAATATCTTCAATACCATAAGTACCAACTTACTTAACTCTGCTACATCACTAATCGAATATTCTGCTACTTAATTTCTATGTAAATACTTTGTTTCAATTTGTTGCATATCTTCGAGCAAGCCTTTACTTTTCGTTTGGTGCTTCATGCTAAACTGTTTTCATTGGCTATTAGTGGTTACCTATTACTTAAGTTCATTATTGAAGATATTGAAAATACAAAATAAATTACTCAAGGATTTAAGTCCATCTCCTCGCAATTTCTTAAAGGTGTAGTCACAAACATATTTCTGCAGGTGTGTTCCCTTAATTGCATAACTCCATTTGAAGCCTAACAGATGCCTAAGATTCAGTTTGTAACTGTCACATCCTGTTCCTAGCTGCGGAGGATTCTGACAATAGCTTCTGGTACCCAGTACTCTTTTTACGATTCTTGTTTAGTTTACCTTGGTTTTTCTGGTTTTCTATTCTATGTCTGGTTTTCTTTATGCTGGGTTTTTCTGGGTTGATTCCTATATTCTGTCCCTGGAATTCCCAGTCTCCTGGATTCATTTAAATGTTTGTTTTATGTTGCCACACCTGTTTGTTTTCCATCATTCCTTTTGTTTCAGTGTCCTGCAGTGTCCTGCAGGCAGCTGCTCGTGTCTTCTGCCATTTCTTGCAGGTGAGTACTATGTGTGTTTTCTTTGGTTGGTTTAGCTTGCATTAGGCAGAGTAGGACCTGCCAGATATGGGGTACATTGGTGTTGTTGGCAGGCTTATGCAATGTATGATCATATAATGTCACTAAATCCCTGTGATTTTCATTTGTAGTACTTAGTTATTTCTCCTCTTGTTTTGCCTATCATATCTTGTCTTGTTTTAGTTTGTATTCCCAGTCCATGTACAGTCCTGTCCTGCCCATGTTTAGTTAATGTCCCTTTATGTATTGTGTACATGTTCTGGGTTTAGCTTCCTACCCTTCTCTGGTTCTGGGTTCTACTAGTTCTGTCTTGTTTTCATGTTTGGTGACTATCCTAGCCTTGCCTTGTTTCTGTACTGGATACATCCCTGCTGCAGAGCCTCCCTATTCAGCTCACGGGAGGTCTGCTTACTTTCAAGCTTCAAGTTCCTGGGATCCGCTGTAGCTGCATCAGGGTTCTGTTATGTGGCCGCACAAATGCTGGTGCTCAACACCAGGGGGCATGTGGTTGCCCTGCACCAGGCCCTGATAATCCACTTCCATGCTGAAGACTCCCAACTTCTCATCAGGCACTCTGGGGTCCCGGTTTCCGTACCGCCACCCGTGACAGTAACATTGAAATAGGTTTTACGGTAGGCCCCGTATTTTGATGTATTTACAGTGTCTCTTGTCTTCCAAGGCTGCCATTACGTTCTTGGGCCTGTGTCTGAGAGTCGAAAACTGGTTCTCCAGAGACTTTGTGCGGGTCTTGTGGTCAGTGGAATTCAGCTCAGTATTATGCAGGCGTGCTGACACCCCGTTAATTTCTTCCCAGAACTGGCCGATATCAGCTGCAATGTTGCGGTTCAGCTCATCCAGGGGCCCCTCAGCGTGTCTTCGGTAACCGGAGGCTTTCCCACATGTTTTGGAGGTTAGTGCATGTGTCTGGTGGGCACACAAAGATCGTAATCCTCCACATAAGCCAAGGACTCCTCGCTGGATGCCCACAAAGGTCCATCAGACACCGGTGCCATTTCTGACCTCCCAGAGATTTGCGGCCTTATCAAGAGATTGCCGATGTCAGCTGATATCTTGCTCCATGCATTGCCCTATGTATTTGGGGAGGTATACAGCAGTATCTTGTGCAATTAGATATTAATAATCCTGTGATTTTTGCCTTGTTTCTGTATTTTCACTCTGAGCTTGTGAGAGATGCATCCGTTCAGTATGGCCACTGGCTCTGCCCCCCCCCCCGAGATCTTAACACTTTTACTATCTGCACATGTAGAGCTATGTATGAGAAAGGGATGTATACTATGTAAACTGTATCCCTCCTTACTGTTGTTAACACACTTATTTACAATGTTTTCACCGTTATTATGATTATTATTATTTATTATTGTGTTTTATTCCTTAAACATATTATTCCTTAAAGTATCTACTGGAAAAGAAAATGCCTGACTGGACTTGAATCTGGGTAAAATGTTAATTGTGCTAGCAAGTTATACATGATATGTACTATTTCCTACTGTTTTTATGTCAATACTTAAATGAAGTAGCTTTGTACAGTTAACAGAAAATTGAGTCTGTTCACAAAATGGCACCTGAATCTAACATGGTGGTTTATTACAAAATGGCACCCTATTATGAAATGGCTGATTGGTTATAAAAAAATTTTTAAATAAAATTTAAAAAAGTAATATAAATTTTGTTTTTAATTCTTTATTTTCTTAGTACACAGGATAACAATCAAGAATGTGCAAACAATTCATAAAAGTGTGAATGTCGAGACAGAAAAGCAATGAATTTGATAGAGAAATTTAATGTGGATGTTAGAATGATTTCCAGTCCATACCTGCGTTGCGTGGTCATATGTTGAGTAGTAAAGTTATTGAGAATGTGGATGACTTTGTGTGATGTGTGTAGGATGATAGTATATAAAATAATAAAGGTTTGTGCCTCCTCCACCATTATAGCACGTGCAGCAATATCTTTCACGCATGCCAGCATTTCCCTGAACCACTGGTGGTTATACATAGTTTTAGAGAGCTGGTCTATATCTGGAGAATTTTCCCCGAACATAGACACACGCTAGTGAGCTGGTCTATGTTCGGGGGAATTCCCCTAAACTAGATCTGCTCTCTAGCACATCTTCACTCATCGACCAATTCGTTTTAAGACCGAGTCATAACAACGGAACCCGGTCGGTAAGTGACGACTGTCTGTACTAAAAACTTTTCTCCTAAAAGAATACTATTCCTACGGTAATCTTTGCATTGCTGGGAAATACGCCAGCCATATCATTTTCTCTTATTTCTTTTTCAAATTCTTGCACAGTCTTTTTGAATGCATTCCAGTAACCAATTATCTTATAATAAGACTGTTCTCAGGCTTCAGATTTGCAAGGCAGGGTTGAATTAACAACTGACAAATCTCTGTGGCCTCCGTATCTAAACAACATTCCTTAAACCTTTAACAAAATCTAAAATACTTTCTTCACTTTTCTGTTAACACATTACATATTATGTAGACAAACAAAATCATTTTGTACACTTCTTCACATGTCATTATGAGGCCACTTTTGATATCCTGCCACTTGGTAGCACAATTTAAAAAACACACATAAGAGCCACTCAATAACAAATCAGTGGTATATATAGAAATAGGTTATTGCCCCAGCAGGGTGTTTTTACTGGATGTTGAGAGTCGGGGATCTTAAGGACCACCTTATCTCCTACCAGCATATATGACATTGCTGCACATAGGTACCAGAGGTAAAACAGAGAGTTAATATTGTACCACTTCCTAATTCCATGGCCTTAAGTTCACCAATTTTCTTATAATTTTTATCCCCTGTTTCATCAGGGGTCTGTGTTCCAACCGCATCTCCGGGAAGGGAGGGGGGTTACACATCAGCAGTTACATTTGGCTCAATATATTGTACCTGATGATATTCACCCACGAGTACTTCAGGAGCTTAGTGTGGAAGTCCTGCAGAAATCAATACATCATCATCATTACTTAAACCTTGTAAACTAGGATAAAGTGCGGCACAAGGCCTTTTTTGATTACTAGGATAGGGAGGGGGGAGTTTGTACAGCTATTTTACGTGATTCACACGGCCAAAAGAGTTCTTTCCATACCAGAGCAGGTTCATGCTCTGGAAATTGTAAGTAGAATACTTATCTGTATAATATGTTCATTTTATAATTGGACTACACCATTGGTTTTCCTATCTGTACTTCCCTCCACATATATTACTGACTGCTGCTCAAGATATCTGACATCATATCCTTGGACAGGGATTGTACCGTCCTGGCGTGCATCTCAGTCCATCCAGTCATATTATCAACAAAAGGAGTAAAATAATAATCACCTCTTTCTACTCTACTTGCAATATGCTTAGGTGTTGTACCTGGAAGTGGGGATGGAGAAACCTTTCTGGCACTTCATTAGGAGTATAGTACTTTATCTTGGAAGGGGTTTCCGCAATCTTACTTTTCTTTGAGCCCATACTAAAATAAAAAAACTCCTTATTAATGAAAGAACAACAACAGTAGATACCGGTAGAAAAAACAACCAAAGTTAGGAAAATGCAAAAATAGCAGATTAAACACAAACTGTCTGAAACTAAAAATATATTAGCAGCAATAGACAAAGTTTTTGATGTGTGGCTGGCTGGAATCCAAAACCTGGCTTCCCTACTTATCTGGTGGGACCTACCACCCAAAGCCTTTGACTTAACCCTGTGTGGTACCTACCATACTACTAAACTCAACACTTAGCCCAAACCTGGTTACTAAATTACCCCAACGGTAGCAGAAAGGAAAATAGAAATTCTACTTACCCCAGGGGTATTCTCGGTACGGAACCTCCAAAAAATGTTAGGGATATAGATCTTCCCCGGGGATTCTAATTGGCTGCAGACCATCCCTGGAATTCCACCCAGCCCAACACACCTACGAGCTTGGGGGAATGACTGACACAACACCAGAGTAGTGAGGTTTCACATCAAATTCCAATTTAATGGACTCAGTTCACAGATGATATAGGAAAATATTTATTACATCACCTTATACAGAGTCGGCAATTATCTTGGATATTTGGTCAAATATTATTTCATAGCCATGGGGTACATATGTCATGGCCACAAGATAGACATATTTATTGGAGATTTTAATTATTTGGACATAAATTTGGACACAGGGACTAGTAGTTCAGAAAAGGAAATTAGGTTTTTGAACTTGTTAAATGACACCTTCATGTCACAACCTGTACAAGCACCAGCTTGAAAGGATGCTTGTCTGGACCTGGTTCTAATAATGTTGATCTTTTGACCAACATTCAAGTAGTGATCACAATATAGTAAATAGTAATATAGTAAAAAGCACATGGGGTATACTAAAACATATAATTTAAAATAGCCAATTTCAGTAAGATAAGGGCAGCTTTACAATATATTGACTGGCATACACCCTTTATTGAAAAAAACACTGAGGATAAATGGAATATCTTCAAGCAAATATTAGAAAGGTACATTTCTCAGTATGTAACATTGGGTAGTAAATATAAAAGAAACAAATTGAAATCAATGTGGCTTAGTGGGAAAGTAAACCAATAAATAAAAAATAAGAAAAGGGCATTTAAAGACTTTAAATCGGACAAATCAGAGGCATCCTATAAAAGATATAAGGAAGCCAATAATGCATGCAAAAAGGCGATTAGATTCACTAAACTAAAGATATTTTAAATTACTATTTTTCTTCAGTATATATTAACGAGGATCCTATGGCAAAACTTGCAGATAACTTGTGATTGGATGACTCAAGACAAGGTGCTACAGCAGTTAAGACAAATGTAATGTACCTGACGGTATTCACCCATGAGTACTTCAGGAGCTTAGTGTGGAAATGAGTAAACCTCTGTATTTAATCTTTCAAGATTATTTTCTTTCAGGAATGATACTGGAGTATTGGAGGTAGGATGATGTGGTTGCTATATTCACAAAGGCTTCAAAATCTATTCACTTTTGAGAAAGATACGGCGAAACGCGTCAAGTGAGGTTTCTGGACTTTCAATTCCACTGTGGACTGGTATACATTTATAATTTATTTTGTTAGTATCCATTTTTCTATCACTATTATTGTTTTAATAAAAGTACTTTTTTAAGTAAGTATCCAGTCCCTTGGATTTCTGTTTTTTTTTTCTCATCTGGCTCCCTGGATATCCATCAGATCCATAGGTGGGGATCACTCCACCTAAGTGCTCCATACCAGAGCAGGTTCATGCTCTGGAAATTGTAAGTAGAATACTTATCTGTATAATATGTTCATTTTATAATTGGACTACACCATTGGTTTTCCTATCTGTACTTCCCTCCACATATATTACTGACTGCTGCTCAAGATATCTGACATCATATCCTTGGACAGGGATTGTACCGTCCTGGCGTGCAATATTAGAGATAATTGAAGCTCTGGAAAGTGTGAGTGTTCTATTGGCACTGTCTTTATATCTACTGCATTTCTTACAGTATTGTACTATTGTACATTTCTTTGTTAAAGATACATCTCACAATTATCCTCCTCCATTGATTGTATGTATAATCCTTTTTAATTACTAAGTGTGGCTCACCATTTGTTTGTATTTATCTGCTAATGATATTCACAAGGTGTGGGAACTCCTTTTAGGTGGACTGCTGCTATTTATATATTTATATATTTATATATATCTTTGCTTCAGTATTCTTCCCCAGTAGTCATGTGGTGAAAGATGATAAGCAAGGATGGTAAATAAAATCTTCACATTTATTTCAAACATATAAGAAGCACAAGAAACAGCAACAAGTTCTTCATAAAACACACAACGCGTTTCATCTAACCGCCTTCATCGGGTGCATTATGTCATTCTCCGTCTGTCCCCTTTTTAATCCCAAATTTGGCACCGAAACTCCTTTTAGACACGCGGACTTGGACGTGTCGCATAACTTCCGGTAGTACACGGCGACTACTTCCGGTTTGTCAGACCTGGCACCCATCCTCCTGCGCCATCTTGCTGCACCCGGATGTGCCTTATAGGGTGCACACACTCACCCAAAGGCTCAAGGTAGGCAGTCCAGTTCCAAAATCCATAGAAAGTAGATTCGTGTGTGACAGAAGTCGCCAGAAGTGCTCCGGCGGCCATCTTGGTTAAGGCATATTAGTATACATAGTATGGGCAAAAGACATAGGAGAAAAAATTAAAAAGCAGTATCAATAAACTTAATATAGACATACATAAACAAAAATCATACATGTGATAATATGATACGATATTTTTACATACCCCTAAACATAATTAGATATAATAAAATTATTTTAAGGGAAAATTCAAAACAAGCAATATCACAATCAATTATTTTAAAACCATCATAAGTATATGTTTAATTATATGATTGATTTATTTTCTTTTCCCTTCTTTTTCCTTTTATAAAATTTTTTTTAATAGCTAAAATATACCCCAACACATGATAAAATGGAAATTCCTTTAAATATAATTCAAAATCTCAAAATCTATTTTCATACCAGACAGAGATAAGGTGTCTAACTAAAAAAATCCACCTCATCTCTGTCTTATTAAAACTTTTTATTAAAAAAACTGATGACACTACTTTTATAGAATCAATTTACAATCAGAATTTTTAAAGAAACAATTTTATGAGAAAGGTTATAAAAGGGTGGATGTAGAAAGTCAGTTCACCAAAATTTTATATAAACCTAGAATGAATTATTAACATATAAAAACCAAATATCCCCATATTCACAGATTAATTTTATTTGTAATTACAATCCACAAAGTGCACTTTTTAGAAAGATTTTAAATAACCATTGGCACATTTTAGAACGAGATGAGGATTTAAGTCATTTTATTGGCACAAAACCTAAAATTGTATATAGGGAAGCCAAGAATTTTAAACGTATTTTAACTAAAAGTTGTATAACTAAAGATACAGTTGAGAGAGATATTTTAGGTTCTAAATTGAGAAGTTTCTATAATTGTGGAAAATGCTCTGGCTAAATTTTATCTTCTATTTTGTAATTGTGGCTTACAGTATGTTGGCAGGACTACTAGACCCTTCAAAATAAGAATAGGAGGGGCTTGGAACCAATTTGGGGGGTGCAAATAACAGACTTGCCCCCGTGCACCTCAAGATTCCACTATGCCTTTGTCAAAATATCAAGACATTGTTTTTACAATCCATTAAAAAATTAAGTGTCTTTGCTAAACTGTACATTTTTCCCAATAATTTTCATCACTGTTTAGTAACTGTTACAGCATTCCCGACATAAAGGAGTTAAACCGCCATTTAGTAGAGCTTCCCCTTGCAGAGGTATAGGCACAATTACTGTAGAACCCCAAACTCCCGAACTGGAACCAGAGGAATGCTCCTAACTCCCGAACAGTGTACCCAGTAGTACTCCAAACTCCCGAACGGTAATCTCACGAATAGTTGCTAACCGACGAGCAGGCACAGCATCCAAGCGGCTTACACTTCCAGCAATCAGTCTCTAACCGCGTATAGTAAATCCCCCCAATCACGAGACCAAGCTCCGTATTGAGGGTAAAACAAGATCTGGCTTTAATGAAGGCTACCTGCCCATATTTATGCAGGTCTCCCACCTGGTGGAAACTCCCCTAGGGGACCAAATGGGAGACTGTAACAAAGGACAGACAGGTATCAGATCAGGACATACAGTCACAATACATCCCCACAATGCATCCTGGCTTCCTCCTCTCTGCCCTGGAGATAATTAAGAAGTGATTCAATTATCTCCCAGGACAAAGGCAAATCGCCATTATGCACGTGGGGGCAACAGAATAGAGAATTACTTTAAAATGTACAGTGTTATAAATGTTACAATAAATATAGACATGTAACATACCTCCAGATAGCTAGGGTCTGAGTGCATTAGGTGAATGGCGGTCAGACCACACGAATGCAGTTTAATCGCTATGGAGCCAAAGTCTTTAATTCCACGAACAGGCTCCATGGCATAGTTATCCGGGTAACCTCACATATAGTACAATATAAAACATAAAGTCCCGAATGCTCCACCGTTCGGTTCACGAACGGAGCTGAAGACCCGTAGGCTGGTAGCTCAGCGGTGCTTGGGAAGAAAAGTGTCCGCTCTTGGTGTACTGAAGCTGGACAGAGCACCGCTGATTGTCCAGGGAGCTCCATAACACCGCCATCATGTGGCAGCCAGGTGTAGCCGTGACCACCCAGTAACAGTCAATTAAGCTGCGGTTAACCGCAGATACTGGGTGGTCAATTGACGGCGCACGCCAGCTTGCCTGTGGTCGCGTATTCGGTAGTCTTTTGGGAAATAATACGGGAAAATAAGGGGACTGCACGGGCAAAGAAACAACCGTACAAACAGACGAATGGAGGGAGAAGAAACATAAGGGGTGATTATTTCTGATGACTTAAAGGTAGGCAGACAATGTAATAGAGCAGCAGGAAATGCTAGCAGAATGCTTGGTTGTATAGGGAGAGGTATTAGCAGTAGAAAGAGGGAAGTGCTCATGCCATTGTACAGAACACTGGTGAGACCTCACTTGGAGTATTGTACACAGTACTGGAGACCGTATCTTCAGAAGGATATTGATACCTTAGAGAGGGTTCAGAGAAGGGCTACTAAACTGGTTCATGGATTGCGGGATAAAACTTACCAGGAAAGGTTAAAGGATCTTAACATGTATAGCTTGGAGGAAAGACGAGACAGGGGGGATATGATAGAAACATTTAAATATATAAAGGGAATCAACACAGTAAAGGAGGAGACTATATTTAAAAGAAGAAAAACTACCACAACAAGAGGACATAGTCTTAAATTAGAGGGACAAAGGTTTAAAAATAATATCAGGAAGTATTACTTTACTGAGAGGGTAGTGGATGCATGGAATAGCCTTCCAGCTGAAGTGGTAGAGGTTAACACAGTAAAGGAGTTTAAGCATGCGTGGGATAGGCATAAGGCTATCCTAACTATAAGATAAGGCTAGGGACTAATGAAAGTTTTTAGAAAATTGGGCAGACTAGATGGGCCGAATGGTTCTTATCTGCCGTCACATTCTATGTTTCTATGTTTCTAACCCAAAGACAGACGGTTCTGTCACAGTAACTAACTAATTAAGGCAAACCAAAAAAAGGAATACCCTCATATTGAAGAGGGAGGTGTTTCCTTTCAAAAAGTGCTTTATGTGAAATAAAATAGCAGCTCTGCACAATACTATGAGATACCCTCTTCCCCACAGAACACAACAAACAATCACCTTCTAATGGTATAAGATATACTTATACCTGAGTGGAACACTAAAGTGCAAGAAAAGTCAATGGGTGACTTACTCCACGTGTATATAGAGATGTACAGGGGGGTATAGACAGGACATAAAAGACAGAAGAGTACAGATATAGTGTAGATGGTAATAGTAAACAAATAATATGACTCTGCTTGCTCAGATCACTCACATTTGATGGAGCCTATATATATTGGCTCCGTATAGATCGCTGATATGCTGCCCTCGCTGATATGCTCTTAGGGCAGCATCACACCACTCCTTCAATGGAATATAGCTACTCTCTCTTCTTATGCAGTACACATATACATACACACACACACACACACACACACATACACACACACACACACATTTACCATTATGTTTCTCTATAGTTTATTTCAAGCCACAGGGGATTCTTACAACTAAATGGTGGTAGTTCAGGGGCAGATCTAAAGCGCAAATTCAGGAAGGGCACTAGTGAATTTCATGTCAGATTTGATCTTTAGAAAATGGACGCATACATTTATACAAACACAAATACAAACACTTACAAACATGGATACAATTACAAAGGCCTACATCTGCATCCACATTTACAGAGATGAATACATACTATTATTATTATTATGACATTTATATATCGCCATCAAATTCTGCAGCGCTTTACAATGGGTAGACGAACAGACATGTAGTTGTAACTAGACAAGTTGGACACACAGGAACAGAGGGGTTGAGGGCCCTGTTCAATGAGCTTACATGCTAGAGGGAGTGGGGTAAAATGACACAAAAAAGGTAAGGATAGTGTTAAACTAGTGACAGTTGCAGGAGAGGAGTCATTCGGGAGCTATTAACAGTTTAATTGATACTCTTTCATGAAGAAGTGGGTTTTTAACGATTTTTTGAAGGAGTGGAGACTGGGTGAGCATCTAACGGAGGAGGGAAGCGAGTTCCACAGCAACGGTGCAGCCCTCGAGAAATCTTGAAGGCGAGCATCAGAGGTGAGAGTACAGACAGAAGATAGATGTAAGTCTTCAGCAGAGCGTAAGGGCCTAGACGGGACATACTTGTGTATAAGGGAGGATAGATAGGTGGGAGCAGCATTATGTAGAGATTTGAAAGCAAGAACCAGAATTTTAAATTGAAATATCTATACCCACATACAGATAGACAAATAAACAGACATATACATAGATACACAGCTTCATACATACAACATGGCTACAGGCATTTGCTGAGGGTGGTCACTCATTCAGCACATGCTGCTAACCAGTTATTAATGCCCCTGACATCTTTGGAGAAGTGTTTTCCCTTGTGCTCTCCCCCTGGATCAACCCCTGGATCCAACACTTCTCTCAGGAACTGAAATTGTGCTGGATTCTGCTGGCCAACTAAGGTTGTACTCTGTTAACTGAATAGCAATTCCTCAATCAAAGTCTTTAATCTGCTGTGAGTAAAAACGGTAATGCGTTCTGACTGTAATAATACAAAAAGGCCTGCAGGTGGCAATATAGATCTGTGAGTCACTTGAACTCAGGCTCCGCACCTGTGGTTACATTCCCAATAAAGTAAATTATGAAAAGGTTATTCACTAAACTAAGAATTATGGAGTATTAACAAGGGAATAGCAAATGTTACACTACAAGATTCACGTTTGTAACATTGAAGAGCATTTCCAAGCATGCTGACGTAAAGTTTGCAGTCCTCCACAATTTCTGGTTTAATCATTAACATAAACAAGGTTATTCAATAAACACTGGATTTTGTCCGGATGGAAAATGGCCGAATTCTGACCAGAATGGCAATTCTCATATTTACTAAAGCCAAATTCGGTCAGAATTCGGTCGGTCCCACCAGATTTGCAGCAATTGCCTGGATGCATTTGGTGTCCGTATTACAATCATTGCTTTCATATCTGAACTCTATACAAAGTATAGGATTAGGATTAAGTTTCACTAAACAATGGATTAAATGAAATTTGGACACGAATGCATCCAGCAGAATGCACGTTCGCATATTAATGTTCACTTGCTTTTTACGAGTGAATGATAATCTGAATTACTGTTTGCCCAGTGGCAGCACTAGTAGCCAGTAGGGAAATAGGGAAGCAATGCGAGGGTTAGCTAAGTGGTGACTTGCCTGTTGATAAGGGCTTTCACACGTTTTGAATTTTATGCCAACCAATGAGAACGCGTTGGCAGGCAAGTCACACTTCTCTTGAAACTTGCCCAGAAATTTTACCTAGTAATTCTTCCTTTCAAACATCGATGGTATGTAGTAAGGTTCTAAAACAGGCTTCTTTTTTTTTCTAATATAGCTATTTATTTTGCTATACACTGAATAGAATCTGAAAAATATGATCATAATGTTTTTATTGTCATAACTTGTAGAAAATAAGAACTTTGTAATACCTACACCTAACCACTAGAGGACATCACAGTAAATTGATCTCACCGAATCAGACAGGCAGGGTTATTCATTTAAGTCTGAATGGTCCAATACCAGGGCAAAACCATCTGGCTGCGTACAGGGCCATTCAGGATGCAAAATCCAGAAATTTAAAACAACACAGTTAGACTAATACACCAAGTAGTGAACGCACAATAAAAATACTCATGAGCAGGAGTAGAATGGAGGTTCCTTATGCAAAATGCTGTGGTCTCTGCATGAGATTGAAAACATCTCATGGTTTGGAAATCCAAAGTAGGAAGGAACACGGGAATCATCAAAATAAAAACACATTTATTGGAAAAAATTAGATAAGATAAAATAAATCAATAACATAATGGACTAAATATATATATATATAAATATAGAAAAAGTACCAGTTGCTCCTGCACTCACGCTCAAGTTGCCCTTAGTGCCCGGGTGCTAGCAAATCTTGGCCGTCCATATTTACATCTTTTTGATCCTGAGGAAAGTCCCTAAAGGACTGAAACGTTGATCTTTGATGTTTTAACTTATTCTCAATAAATTTAGATTTTTAACTACCGTGAGTGCAGCTACCTATTGGATGTATATATAAATATATATATATATATATCATTGGAAACAAGTAATAAAACATAAATCACCGCTTAGTCTATAGAAAAACTCGTCCAATAGCAGCATTTACCAAGTCTGTATCAGTTTTTAAAATATGCCAAAATTTGTTTAAAAAAGTGTTTTTAGTCTGTCTAACATTACTGTGAAAATCCAAAATACTAGGGATAACCTTATATAAATTACCCGAGCTTACATAGTTTAACAGGTTTTGGGTTAAACTTTTCTTTCTTCACAAAATGTTTTTAAGATGCCACCTTAAATATCAAATTGACGTGAATCACTACAGTTCCTTAAAACTCTAATGAATTGTCACAACCTTGCAACTGCTTGTGTCAATATTACTATGGACATCAACCTTTTTTTTAAAAAAAGTCTTGAACAATAATAATTGTCGACATAAATGTCCAAGACAAAAAAAATATACATGGGAATGGCTATATTCACTTGTAGGAACAATGCCTTTTTCATTGTAGTTGAGTGTATTTAAAAAAGGTACAAAGGAATTTTCACCCCCTTCCAAATCAAAAATATGTATCTGCGATAGAAAAACTAATGTGCTTGTAGTTTGCTTGTTTATCTATATATTCAGAAAACCAACTAAGGAGGGAAACCGCGCCTGACACTATAGGTCTTAACCATTTCCCCGGGAAAATCTATAGTGTCAGGTGTGGTTTCCCTACTGGGGCAAATACTACAGAGCCATAAATATACACATTATAACTATGTAAGCTCAGGTAATTAAAATAAGTGTATCACTATCGTTTTAGATTTTAACAGTAATGCTAGACAGATCAAAACATTTTAAAATTATGGTTCTTGCTTTCAAATATCTGCATAATGCTGCTCCCACCTATCTATCCTCCCTTATACACAAGTATGTTCCGTCTAGGCCCTTACGCTCTGCTGAAAACTTACGTCTATCTTCTGTCCGTACTCCCACCTCTGATGCTAGCCTTCAAGATTTCTCGAGGGCTGCACAGTTCTTGTAGAACTCACCTCCCTCCTCCGTTAGATGCTCACCCAGTCTCCACTCCTTAAAAAATTTATTAAAAACACACTTCTTCATAAAAGTGTATCAATTAAACTGTCACTAGTCTAATACTATCCTTACCTTTTGTGTCCCTTTACCCTACTCCCTCTAGCATGTAAACACATTGAGCAGGGCCCTCAACCCCTCTGTTCCTGTGTGTCCAACTTGTCTGGTTACAACTACATGTTTGTTCTTCCACCCAGAAGAATTTGTTGGCGCTATATAAATAATAACATAATAATAATAATTTTGGCATATTTTAAAAACTGATAAAAACCTGGTAAATGTTGCTATTGGATAAACTTTTATATGGACTAAGTAGTGACGTTACGTTTTATTGCTTGTTTTTACTGTTATATACATTTGTAGTCCATTCTTTTATTCATTTATTTTATTTAACTTTTTCCAATAAATCTGTTTTAATTTTGACGATTCCCGCATTTCTTTCTCCTTTGGATTTTCAAGTCTGAATAGGCACCCTGGGGCATATGCTACAGAGCCTGAAACGACTCTACATGTGTGAGTTTTGTTCCTTTACTTGTGATCAGTATATTTTATATAGACAGAATACACTATGTATGTTGTGTTTATTTGTTTTAGATCTCATGCAGCTCCTATAGCATTTCTCATAAGGAAGTCCCATTCTATTCCTGCTCTTGAGTATTTGTATTGTGTGTCCACGATTTGGTCTATTATCCTGACATTGTTGTTTTATATATCTTTTGTTTAACCCCTTAAGGACACATGACATGTGTGACATGTCATGATTCCCTTTTATTCCAGAAGTTTGGTCCTTAAGGGGTTAAAGTGACAGGGAAAACACTTTTAAAATACACTATAAGTGCTCACTCAGCAATATTAAGAAGGGCCAACACACCTTTATTTCAGTTGATTGTATATAATCCAGACGTTCACACTATTCAACAATGTCTGGATTTTGTGTTGTGGGCTCCAAATGAGCCTAAATTTGTTCCGAATTCCAGCCAGGCTGAATGACAATGGACAGCGGATATCCAGACCCTCGTTTTTATAGCACTTTGCAAAATGTCTGCACCTCAAGTTACTGGTGACTGGAAAGTTTGCAGATGGTGGAGCAGTAGGCTGCACCCCTATATTTTGAACCTGTCCCTCTCTATAAACCTTTCCCCTAACCTGTCTTTGATCACTTAAAGGGATAATAGAGACACCAAACCAACTTTAACTGAAAGAGACATGCATCATTTTTAGACAACTGTCTAATTCTAAATCTTTAGCTTAAGGCTGTAAAAAGCAGGCAAATACAATTATAATTTTTTTAAATGTCTACATGCTTCGTCTTTCTTATGCTATCCACACCCACTCCAGAGGGGACACTGATCTCGTCAATGCACACTTCCCCTGGATGTGACTAACACAGCTTTCATTAAAAAAAATTTCAGATCTTACCTACTTTACAAAATTTTATCCCCTGCTCTGTTAATTAAACTTTTTTTTCCCCACACACGAAGCTCCTGCAGACTCTAGCAGGCCAATAATAGAGCAGGAAATAAGAAATCCTCAGTTAAAAGCACACGGTGCAATACAGGAAGTTTAAACAATAGATCTCTCTTTATAGGAAGTGTTTACAAAGGCTGTGTAAGTCACAGAAAAGGGCTGTATAAACAAAGTGATTTAACTTCTAAATGACAGTGAATTAAACAGTAAGACTGCAGGGGCATGATCTGTACACCAAACCAGTTTCATTAAGCTAAAATTGTTTGTGTGCCTATAGTATTCCTTTAATGCTAATTTATTGCTAATACCCATATTCTATCAATAATCTATTAAAGTTATTATTTACAGTTTTTCCTAGTGGCCAATTTTTTTTTTACTTCGTTTTTTTATACACTTTATTATTTTTGTTAAAAAATATATATTTTTATACTTTATGACCCTTATGCCTTACCAGTAACACTTCATTTCTAGTGAATTATATTTCTCAAGACACTTAGCCAGCTGAAATGGCTTGCTGAGCCTCTTGGAAAAGTAGTTGCCACTGAAGCAGATTTATGTAATTTTTGTAGATTTTTACTACAGTGCCTCTTTAAGACAATTACCATATGTTCAATGAGGGTGGCACAGTGCAGTTAAACTTTACATATTAAAGTAGTTCAGCCATAGTTCAAGTGCCTGTACTACTGATTTTCCAATGCGTTTGGGAGGATGCCAAATACAAAGATTCCAGTCGACAGATTGTACTAAACTAAAAATATGTTCGGACAACCCATGGAGATCATACTACTTGTTATCGTAGCCATAAATGAAGAGGCCCCACAATCCACAGAAAAAGATGAAGAGTCAGGACCTGCATACAGGGGATCTCACGTGAGACATCTATTAGACCACTC